TTTAAATTTCGTATCAACTTGGACTACATTTGGAATTCCGTTTCAACTTAAGTGGATTCTAAATCTACAATAATTTCGTTCCGATATACAAGTTGGTTCAAATTGTCATAAGACTAATTTTACGTCTAACCAGAGTTTCATCTCGGATTGTAATTCATAAAATATTCATCAGGTTTTTCATTAAAGTTTTAAAATATCTTGTATCGTTCATGTTCAGTGAACATGGTTCTCTAAAAGTGAGGGAAGCTTTTCAATACATCCATATCTTTGAAAATGCTTGAGAATTCGACTTATAAAAGATATGCTAACACCTAAGTGTTTGACCTTTTAAATTTTTTTCAATTATTTTCCAGCGAAGATGCTTTGAAAGTATATATTAAACCAGAGATATAAAATTTATATATTATATATATCAATTTTATTGAATCTATTATGCCGAAATCACAATCGAATCGGCTGAAAAATCATTCGGCCAATTTTTATCAGGTGTTCCAGGAATTATGAAAATAGCTGTAATTTTGGTAAAAATTGACCGATCCCAATCTAGCCGACCGGGATTCCAAAAAAAAAAAATCAGGTCATGTCACATGATATAAAACTATATAAGGTGAGAATCACTTTTAATCTCGATCTACTTTTTCAATATACTACTACATACATGTCCAAAATAAGTTTAAATTTTCGACAAGGTTTGTTATTAATAAATGTTAGAATGGACATAACGATAAGTTTACAATCCTTAGTAAAGAACAACGAATTTATCTAATTCCAATTTTTATTTTTATTTTAAATTATATAGCGTTAAACACGGTTTTGAAACCTGCTATCCCTATAACAACTGATAAGGGTATTATAAACTTTATATACACGTTACTCTGGTTATAACGACATTTGACATCTGGCTATAAGGCAGCATCCATAATTTACGTTAAACCCAGTATTGTTATAAAAATCTTAAAGATAATACAAAAATAATATTTTCATCAAGATCCCTATTTCTATACAATATAGTACTGGTTTAACGTAAATTATGGATGCTACTTAACGATATTTTGAACCTATATACTTAATATAAAATGTCTCTGGTAGAATCGACATTTAGATATATCGGACAATTTCTTTGCTTCTGGAGAGTGTCTATATAACCACAGTGATGTGTAGAATGATTACTTTTTATCATAATATCATTCTTAATTCTTTAAATATTTATAATATTTCTTTTATATAGTTCCATCTTTTATAAAACAAACCGGGTCCTTAAAACAAATGTATCATACTCCTGATAAAACTCTAAATAATCCACCAACACCTTATGATCTAACTCTTGCGTCTCTCTTATCGACAGGTCTTCATATAGGTCATTCAAAGTCTTTATGGAACCCTAATACATCACCATTTATTTTTGGTATTCGTCACGGTATTAGCATTATAAATCTTGAACATACATTAATCTACTTGCGTCGTGCATGTAAAGTCACACGAGAAATAAGTTATCGTGGTGGAATAATTCTATTCGTTAATACACGTGGTGGAGGTTTTGCTCGAGCAACAATTAACGCAGCAAAACGTTGTAAACAATTTCAACTTACAACACGTTGGTTACCTGGTACTATAACTAATTCACAACAAATTTTGGGTCATTTAATGCCAAAAGAACCTGAAGAGTTATTACCAAAAGTTTTCAAACCGGATTTAATAATTTTATTAAATCCATTAGAGAATGCAATTGTATTGGAAGAAGCAAAACATGGTAATGTACCTACAATTGGAATTGTAGATACAGATTTTGATCCTCGAAAAGTTAGTTGGCCTATACCTGCTAATGACGATTCAGTGAGAGGAGTTGAATTAATTGCGGGTGTACTGAGTGTTGCTGCTAGAGATGGTCTTATACAAAGGCAAAAAATGATGGAAAAAATGGAATCGCAAAAGATTAAGAACAAAACCACTATTGTGAAAATTACATCAAAAGAAAATTAAATAATGTATATAGTAATATATCTTTTTTCCCTTCGGTAATAGCAAACTAGTAGTCTAGTTGATATATTGGTCCTCTGCTATCTTTTTCACTTAAGCTTGCTACTCACTCAAATTATTAATAATTTAGTTTTGCCTTTTTAATAACACTGTTAAAAATTTTCTTTACTTTCTTGAAACATTTGAGCTTTTTTAGAATTTTCCATTTGTATAGTTGTAAACAGAAATTTGTGAGAGTTATTGATGAATTTATATATTCTATATTTGATAATTTATGTTTAAGCATATTAATAATAACTATACTTGCCATGGATTTTACTTAGAAAAATTTCAGTCCCCGGGCGTAAAATATGTTTGTTTTTTTATTTCGATATTAAAATTTAGTTACAATTTTGATTAAAATACATTATGTTTAGCATTCGTAAAAAATTAACCTATCGCTGATTGTTTTTATTTTATTTCATATTCTTTTGCGGCTTTATTTGTGATATACTTCTTACTATTAATATGAGTCGTTGATTTTACTTCATAGTTAAACAGATCGACACATTAAAGATATATTATCAGCAAAAAAATGAAATTCGTTCGTGAGAGTAATGACTGAACTTGACGTAGCAATAAACTAAGTTAATAATAATAATAATAATAAATTGTAATGCTATTAGTTATACATAGTAATTACTAAAAAAATAAATCACGAATTATTTAGTATTTTGAGATTTTCTATCTCTAATGTTGAAACGATATCCAAAAATGTATACTTATACTATCGCGTGTATCATTGAAAAGAGGTAAAATTGTTTTATAATGTATAGTTTCCAATAAAAAAAATACCGCGACAATTGCAATTATTTATTCATCATCATCAATATCTTGTGAACTTATAGGTGGACCATAAACCTGGTTACATCTCTCTTCAAATGCAGTTACTATTAATTCATTAACTTGATCAAAAAATACATTGGCGACTTGTGCATGTATGGAAGATGCAAATTCAAACTCTAAACAAAAATCTAGATTACAATGAGTTGACGGGAACTCCTCGTGCGGTGTAAATCTCCATGTTGTTACCAGGTGCTTAAAAAGAGCATCAGAAGATGCAATTGCCTATGATATGATAAAAAAAGTAAATGTACTATAAGTATAAAATAATTTCAAAGAAAAGAGATGTGTAAATTGGATTACCTGCACAAAATATGGTCTTTCGCATGTTACCTCTGAAACATATGTTTCTGAAAACCCTTGAAAACCCACACCTAGAGCAGCGGTTAGAATTTTTGTTCTTCGGTCAATATATTGTGTCTTTAAAACTTCAGAATTTGTACAAAACGGTATAAACAGATGATAATAATCGATATTTGAAACTACATCATAAAGCTGTTTTTGTGTGTATCTGAACAAAAGAACGAGATGAATAAAAGAGCGATGTGAATCTTAAACGACATATGGTTAATAAATAAGTCCATTAATCTCATCTGACACGAACCCCATTACTTTATGGCCAGTATAAGACCTTCGTGATGACAATGCATCAAAACCAAAAAATTTACGCTGTTGATGGGCTAATGGAGGTGGCGGACAAAACGGCCGCGGTATGTTTGTTACAGGTGAAAAAAATCGTTTAAAATTTAAAGAAGGTGGTGTTTTAAGAGGTGATCGGAATATATTTGATATTTTTTTAAAAGGATTTTTAAACATTTTTTTGATGATTTATTGTATAATAAAATAATCCAGTAAATCTACAAGAGAAACAAAGCAAAATCAAATCATTTACATAATGAACAAATATGGATATACTTTACACCTGTGATTTTAAAGGGTTTGTTCGAAGCATCGCATAAAGTTTAGTTGTAAATATACTTACTGACAAAAACCCGGACAAATCTCAACCCCAAAAATTAAATCAAAAAAAAAAAAACACTTGAAATTTTACAATATATTATTAGAATAAAGATTATTAAGGAAATATAAGTTTGACTAGAATCTGGGATTTGGATATAATAGTTTGGAATTTTGCCGGCAAGTATAGTTAGTTGTAAGACGAAGCATAATAGAAAAGTGAAATAAAATCATAAAATCACGAATATACCTGTTTAAATCGTTTGATATTGATTATTTTAAACGATAAATATTATTTAGCATTATTTATTAAATTTTAATTATATTATCGTTATCGTTATACGTAGAATAATAAAAAAAAATTTTTTTTTATAGATTTTTTTGAGGAAAAAAAAAGCATAAAATTGATTATAGAAATTATAAAATCTAACCATATCGATAAGAATAATTGATGTAATATTATGTCATCAAAATTAGTCTTATTTGTCAAATAAATATATGTGACACATAACACAACACCAAAAAGTCATAGAAACAGTTAATAAACAGTAAATCTATTTGTGTAAGTAACCTAATTTAAAACACTATAACTTTTTAAGAATGTAACAATTCAAACGTGTCAACCCGTCAACAGTGTTGGCCGATGACATAAGTCATACCGTATGACTTTAAGTCATATCAAAAAAATGGTTGATATTGATCATATGAACATACTGTATGACTTTTGGTCATAGGTCATATAGGTCATAATAAATGCTATTGAAAAATTTTTTTTACTATGATTCTTACTATATTAAAAAGTCATAAAGTCATATCAACCTTTGTTATGACCAAATGACCCATGACAGGTCATAAAGGTCATATAGGCCATCTAAGGTCATCAGCCAACACTGCCAATCAAACGATAAATTTTCTGCCAGTCTTTTCGAAGACTAATCCATTACTACACCTATCTGAAGCCGGGAACGGCCGGTAACGAACTAAGGACTAAATGATTCTCAGAATATCCAAGAACAATTTCTATGTTTAAAACGCCGCTTTAAAAGAAATTTGCAATCTGGATAATTAGAAATTCAATACGATTATTCTATGCCATTAAATTATCCTTGTTAAATTAGCTTCGCCATAAAAACAAACAATATATATATATATAATGAATGTTTAACGCATGTATTTAAATATTTTGTTTAAAAAATTTTTTGACAAAAAAATTTTATCAAAGCAAACTATAAGGTATTTTGAAATATATACCGGTAATTTTTTGATACAAAACCAATATTTAGAATATATATCGTGCGTCGGAATGGAATTATTGTAGATTTAGAATCCACCTAGGTGGATTCCGAATAAACGCAGGTTGTAATAGAATTCTAAAATGTGCCCGAATCGTTAAAGAATTCCAATTCAACTTACAACAAAAATTATGGGTATTCCAAATTATTTCATCGGGTAAGTTGTTTTGGAATTTAAATCACTAAGATAGGATTTATAAATAACAGTGCATTGCAAATTAATTAAATTTAAAAGCATGACACGAAATTTTTACATCTATGAGCAACTATTCCTACAGGGTATATTTATTTTTACATTTACAGCAATTTTTGTCTCATGCATTTAATATTACCTACTTGTGAAGAGGATTGCATAATAGATCCTTTTCAAATGCTTATGAGCATTGAAAGAATACTATTTTAACCACGTATTGCAAATGTATTTTTTGCCAAATATCGATTTTTCGCATTCCCGATTGCTGTATTTGCTGAATCTTGATACAAAAACAAAAGTTTTCACGTAAAGTTTTATGTTGCCTATTTGCCGAATCATTACTAAAATATTTGGAAAGCAATTCTTTGAATACATTAATGGATAATCTTAATATTCGGTCATCAGGTAGAGAGAGTTGCAAAGAATGAAAAAGTGAAATAGAAAAAAAAAAGAAATAATAAAAGATTTGTATTTTATCTTGACAATATATCATGTTTTATTATAGTATCGAATTTAATATCAACTCAAGTTGCTATTAAATTTATCGGTTATATGGTACTAAATATAGATTCGACTTAAGCTGCTTTTAAATTTCGTATCAACTTGGACTTCATTTGGAATTCCGTTCCAACCTAAGTGGATTCTAAATCTACAATAATTTCGTTCCGACGTATGACATATATAACCAGAATATATCTTTGAATTTTTTATGTCATATTTTCAAATTAGGAAAAACCCGGATTCAGATAATGTATGTTTAACCGTGTTATATAATGATCGAAATTCGAATGTCTGTGTATTAGAATTTATACATCTCGGTCATCCGAATTTTTTATTTTACTATACATCAGGTAGTTGCGCACCGTGTCTAGGAAAGTGTGATGCACTTTGAGACACATTTTGTTCAAATTCTGTGTTTTGTTTCTGTAGATTTACTAAATAATGTAATTTATATTCTCAAAAAATAAATTTATCGTTATGAATTACAATATATACAGTAGTATATCAGATATGAGATTTTTGCTAGGAAAATAATCTTTTGGTTTAATAATAAAGTTTAACTAGCAGATTCTGATTTTTAATATCTTCAATGTAAATATTATTATTAGAAACAATTTCACCTGCATCAGAAATTATGTCTGTTTGTTAATATAATTAATGAATCTGCTAGTATAAATCACATAAACTCCCATATTATTAAAGCCATCATTTCAACCTCTATTGCTTTATCTGGTTTTAAAATTCAGTTAAAATTTTAAAGTCATTTTTCTATTTTAAATAGTTTCATGAGTTTCTATTGCTTGAAGGTCATCTTTATCCAAACATTTCTTCAAAAGTTCAGCATAACATGTTGCTATACCTTTTAGGGTATATTGGCTTCTTTTATAATCTTATTAAGGTCCTGAAATTTAAAGACATTTAAAGACAATTTTAAAATTTAAAGACTGATAATTAAGGTTCCAGTCTACAAAACGCCACCATTTTACTAGTCTTATTTGTTGTCCATATATTATGGGTCTTTTCTTTGAAAAATCACGTCATGAGACATAATAATCATATGTCCCATAACGTGATTTTCATACAGTCTCGGATATTACCAAATATAGAAATCAATTCACAACATAGTAAAGAATACTCTAGAGCCAATTTATATATTAAAATAACTAGTGGCGGGATCA